TTGCACCTGCGAGTCTCACTACGCCAGGCGCACAAAACCTTGAGGACTAGTTAAGGAAGAGAAGAACTGTGAATGGGATATTCTTTGAAAAGTAGGGCATTCGTAAGTGATGCTAATTGTAAGGTAATGCTGCTCACTCTCATTTTTCAAAACGGGATTGAGCCACGTATATTAGCTGTGTTTTTATTGTGTTTCTAGATTATCAAACGAAAGAGTCGAGCGCTAACTACTCCACTATGCATGACCACTACTGTACTACAAGCTGATAAAAGGCTCTTTGTTACGTCTGTGCCTGTTCAGCAAAAAGGAAGAAACATGCAAATGAGTTGCCAAAACTGAAAACACAAAATGAGGCAATAAATTCGGGCTAGAGCATAAAAAACTTGTGAAGGTCTAAAAGAAGAATCGGCAAGGCCAAGCGTTGCAAGACATAATTGCAGCTGCGGTGAAACAAGAAGAATTGGAAACACAACCGACACATATCACAAAAAGTAACTGCCATGAAAAGTCTCTTTTTATAAAAAGCAAGCTATAGTTCAATCAACTTAAACGTGATGCAGTGCACTGCGATCCCAACAGCATTTGCTCGTAAAAAACGTCTACAACGTAGAAACCAAGATGTTTAATGTCCTCATTGAAGCCATTGCATCTAAATGCTACTAATTCTAAACTTTAGCATTGCAAAGCTTCAATTTCATAGTGCGCCATGCGAGCATGTGCCTTCCGTTGAAGCCTTATTGAATCATATCACTGTTAGTGCTGCCTAACTCTGTATAATCTCTCGCTGACCAAGTATAGCCAACTATAAACGAAAAACTTCGCACATATCAGCTCATCGGAAGAAGAAAGCAGGAAACTTGACCGGGATTAAAAAGATTTGAACAAAAAATCTCGCGCTTATCACAATGTCGCGCCGAGACCATCGCCTAAATCGAATTCTTGTCCTTCACACAGCTGCATCCATTTTCCACGAAATTTATTTAACTCTTGTCTAACTAAAAGTCGTTTTTATTTTTGAAGCAATGCACAGTTTAAGTCCTTATCTGCATCATTTTGAAATCTATGTTTGTGTTTGGGATTTTGTACATTTTGGTCTCTAGTTTTTGGTTTGCACAGTTTTGTAATTTCATTTTTTCCGTTTTTCGTAATTCGGTACAGGAAACTTTTGTTGGATACGCTCTGTGTATGTGGAACGGCGAGCTTCATTCTTTAAATTTGCGTTTTTTTCACCTTGAGCGTGTCTCAAATCTGTTTCTGGCTTCTGATTGCTCAATGTTGTGTAAGTCGCGAAGATCACTCATCGGAATGTGTTTGTAGTACTTTTAATCCGTTTTGATATGCTCAAATACAGATAATCATTATCAGTTTTTTCATCTTCTCTGTCTTCAATTTGTATGCGTTCTTGCATGATTTATGAGCCTTTTTTCAGTTTTCTCGTCTTGGAAAGGTCCCTAATCAAAGATGGTGAGTTATTTCCCAGTGATCTCATGATTTTGATTTTATATTGCTTATTATTTAGCCGCAAAATGATTATATGGACCTGCATAGGAAGCGGCATGGAAGGCGGCTCGATTATGAGGAGCGGCAGTACGTTCATGTTTACTTTTTCGCTTTCTGGTTTTTTGGTTTAGTTGATTTCAAAATGCTCGAAATGAAAATTCGACTGGTTTTTTTACAGGAGAAAGAAAGAAGCAAGAGCTGGTCATGCTCGATCGCAAATGGCAAAGAAGCTACGTGGTCAGAAGGCTAAACTTTATCATAAGAAGAGATATTCTGAAAAGGTGAGTTGCGTACTAGTATTGTCAGTTTATTCGTTGCTCTTGGTAGATTTCTGTACAAATCTTTTTT